CAGAGGAAAGTGGAGGGGCTTTGGGAGGAGCAGGAGGGGGATGGAGCTCAGATGTGGGTGTGGCACTAGAGGAGTCTATTAGAAAGCCAGGTGACGTCATTGGGGGGGACAGCTGTGGGTTATACAAAGCCAGGGTTTGCCTAATTCCAGTCCTTCCCTCACCTCTCTGCAGTTTTTACCATAGCTGTGTGCCACCTGTACTATCGTTTACTTTTTTTTGATCAGCAGTAGTTATATTTTTAAAAAGAACAGGATTTCCACTGTTCTCCTAAAGGAGAAGCTGAGGTCACTTGCCCTGAGTAGAAGGAAACTAAACCATACAACTAAATCTAAGCCAATACCGCCACCTGCCCCGGAGTTCCGAGCAGGCGGCAGATCCTCTCCCTGGGGATGTCGGAGACTGGTGGTATTCAGGACTTTCTCCTGGAGTTTATCAGAAGATATGAAAGGGAATCCCTTTCACACCAGCAGCATCCCTAATGTTTGGTGATGAGACCCTGTGCCACCCCTGTCTCTGGTGTGCCCAGTAAAGTCACTTCTCAGATCACTAGGTAACACACTTCTGGGTCACCAGGGGACTTTTCTGAGCCTCACTGAAGCCAAGAACCAACCAAGGGCATAGGGACCTCTATGCACTTCCTCAGGACATTGTCACCACCTCCTATGTGGTATAACTCGAACATTCTGTGAACATAAAACTTAACACTCTGACTCTGCTTTGGACAAGCCCGGGTTTGAGTCCTCGCGTGCCACCTTGCAGCCTTGACCGACAGTCATTCAGTCATCCCGAGCTCGGTTCCCTCTTCTGTAAAATGGGCCATTGGGAGAATTAAATGATACATGTCATATACCCAGCAATAAATACAACCAATGACAGTCACCACTATTAGTAATTATCATGGCTATTATTGACATATGTCTTACTCCATTTTGTGCTGCTGTAACAGAATACCACAAACTGGATGTTTTATAATGAACAGAAATTTATTTGGCTCAGGTTCTGGAGGCTGGGAAGTCCAGATCAAGGGGCCACATATAGTGAGGGCCTTCATGCTGCATGATACCATGGTCAAAGGCATCACATAGTGAGTGAAAGAGACAGACAGAGAGACAGAGAGACTGAACTTGCTTTTATTTATTTTATTTTTTTTTTTATTTTTTTTCCTTTTTGTCTTTTTTACTGACCGGTAATGGGATCGCAACCCTCGGTGTTGTGCCCGCACCGCGCTCAGCCGGTGAGTGGGAACCAGTCTCCACATGGGATCCAAACCCTCAGCGGGAGCGCCACCGCGCCCCCAAGCAGTGCACTCTCCGGTGCGCCACCAGGCCGGCCCTGAACTTGCTTTTATAACAGACCCACTCTAGCGATAATGACATTAATCTATTCATGACGACAAAGACCTTATGACCTAATCACCTCTTAAAGGTCCCACCTCTGAACACTGTTGCATTGGGGATTAAGTTTCCAACATGTGAACTTTGCAGGACACATTCAAGCCATAACTACATATAGTGCCTCTACCCCAGGGATAAGTTGGAGCTGTGTCAACTACTTAGATATATTAGGAGGTTGGGATAACAATACCTTCGGAGGCCTGGCAGGTAATACGAGTGGGCGAAGTTGGTATAAGACGGTAGGGAGTGTGGCAAACTAGAGAACGCATGGTCTGCTTAATGCTATTTAAAGTCAACTTTTAAAAGTCCACTGCACAAAACACTCTCTCTCTCTCGCGCACACACACACACACACACACACTCACACCCCTGTGGACACAAACCAGTCTGGGCTCCTGAGTTATATGTAGACCTAATAGAGTAAGATGATATTTTGTTGTTAATTTAGCAGATACTTGTTGAGCACCCGCTATGCCAGGCACAGTGCTAGGCTCAGGAATACAACAGTGAACAAGGCAGACGGAATCCCTGTCCTGGAGGAGCTGTCACAGTGAGGGCAGTGGGCAGCATGCCAATACGTGAAATAAAAATGACCTTTACATGCGAGAATAGTAACTGCTATGGAGAGAAATGAAGCAGTTTCAACAGGGGGCCATGGAAGGCCTCTCTGAGAGGGTGACATCTGATCAGTGACCTGAGGAGGGGCGAGGGGGCTGTGATCTGAGGAGTGAGAGCATCCCAGGCAGGGGCACGGCAAAGGTCGGGAGGCAGGAGGGTGGCCAGTGTTCAGTCCTGGGGCCTCAAAGGCACGACCTTGACATCTGAACTTGGGGTAAAACCTCAAGGTACAAGGAGCCAATGGGTGAGCAGAAGGTCTACCTGGGATCCCATGGAACCAGTTCTCCAAGAATGACCCAAGGCTGGTGAGGCGCCCAGTTCTGCCTGACCCTGAGACCGTTCCATGGCTCACTGTGCAGGCTCTGCTGAGTTAGTGCCAGCTCGTGAAGGGAGGCCTCCTAAGCCCACCTCCTCTCCACCCTGCCAGAGGGAGGCTTTGCACCTGGCAGAAACCCTAAAGTTGCCCAGCAGTTACAGCTGGACTCCGGCAGACTTCTCAGGAGGGTGTGTGGCCTCCATGACAGATGTTCTCAGAGTTCTGGGACCTGAGGATTCCTGCTCAATTCATAACGCAAAACCTGTTCCCTCCTCCACTTGCCGTGGCAGCCTTGGCCAGGAGGCTCAGGAAGCACACCAGGTTCCAGGAGGGGATCGCTTGTAAGACTGCCTGAGTGCTGGGCTCACAAGGGCAGGCTCCACTTCCTTCAGTCATTCAGTGAGGGATTTTTTGTTTTGCTTTTCAGTTTTTGCTGGCTGGCTGGTATGGGGATCCGAACCCTTGACCTTGGTGTTATAATGCTATGCTCTAACCAACTGAGCTAACCAGCCAGCCCCTCCAGTGAGTTTTTACAGAGCAGCCATGAAATGTCCCTTGGAGGGAATGCCACCTGGATTGTCATAGCTCTCAGTCCAGATGGAGAGGCAGACCACGGACAAGCGAACCCAAAAATGAGATCATTTCAGAAGGAAGTCAGGCAGGGGTTCCTCCAGATCTGGAGGTCGGCCAGGCCTGCCTGAGGAGGTGACCTGGGATTCGAGATCTGAATGATGGGCTTTGCCTGCCAAACAAAGCAGTCTCGGGAAGACAATCCCAGGCAGAGGTGATAGCAAGTGCAAAGATCCTGGGGCAGGAAGGAGCTTGGAATATCTGAGGAATGACGAGGCCACTGTAGGTAAACCAAGGTGAGTAGGATGAGGTGAGACAGGGAGCTGGTTTGGTGGGAGAAGGTCGTGAACAGTCTTTCAGGCCGCAGCAAGGAATGTGGGTTTTATTCTGAGTGCAATGGGAAACTACTGAATGATTTTAAGCTGTGAAGAGTTATGATCTATGTTTGTCTTGGGGAATCTCCAGCTCTGTTTTCTTCCCTTTTTGGCAGAAAGATGGAATAAAAGAGCCATATAAATCTCCTTTTCATTCTTAGCCCTTAGGGACAGAAGCTAAGGTGGTCTGATTAGTGGTTTTCCCATCTCCAGGGGGTTGCTAGGTGATTGGGATTGCAGCTTTTGGGCAAGAACCTCAAATGCCTGCTAGATCCAGTATTGGTTTCCTGCTGCTGTCCTAACAAATGACCACAAACTGGGTGGCTTAAAGCAACAGGTTTACTTTCTCACAGTTCTGGAGGCCAGAAGTCCAAAATCAAGGTGAAGGCAGGGCTGTGCTTCCTCTGAATGTTCTGGGGGAGAATCCTTCCCTGCCTTTTCCAGCATCTGAAGGCTCCAGGTTGCATGTAGATGGATCACGCCAGTCTCTGCCTCTCTCTGAACATGGCCTTCACCTCCGTGTCTGTGTGTCTTATCTTCTGTTTCCTGTATGGACACTTGTCATTGGATTTAGGGCACACCCAAGTAATCCAGAATGATCTCATCTCAAAATCCTTAATTTAATTATATCTGCAAAGACCTTTTTTCCAAATAAGGTCACATTCACAGGTTTAGGACATGATCATGTCTTTTTGGGGGGCAGGAGCACCTTCAACCCACTATAGACCCTAAGAACTACAAGGAAAAGGGAAAAAACAGGATGGCCATAGAAAGAAGAGAAACAGGACTTCTGTGGAATATTTCCATTAAGCCTCCTAAGTGTTTGGGTACCGACCATAGTGTACAATTACGCAACCCCTCCCCACACATTTGTTGCGTACCTACTGTGTGTCACAGCTCTGATGATGCCACGGGTTCAGCATTGAGCAAACCCCGCGGCTTTGCCCTTGTGTCCCCCGCACACAGTAGGGCTCCCACACGCATTCGTTGCCTTCCTTTGTACGTGCCTTACTCTGCATCTAGCTTCATGGAGAAACAAGGAAGCCGTGCTAGCTGGTGTGTAGCATAAGTCCTCACAACACATGCAGCAGGAGCGATAAGCGCTCAGGAGAACCAGAAGCCAGATTATCCCAGGAGGCTCCCAGAAGAGCTGCGGCGAGACCAATGGGTTAGATCTGGGGGGAGGTGGGAAGTAGGTTCCGAGCTTGCAGAACAGAGTGGACAAAGAAGGCAAGGCGGCTCATGCCCCTTCAGAGCATCCTGGCTGAGAAGTGCTCAGGAGAAGGCTGGCTGGGGGTGGCAGGACCAGATTTCAATGAGAGTGAACAATTCTTGGGAATGTTCCAAACAAAACAAAATCTAATCCTCTCTCAGTTTACATGGTGGTTGCTTTCCAAAAAAATAAAAAAATCAGTAACATCAGTGCCCTGCAAAAAAGTCCTTCTGTTTATATGTAAAACAGTTTGATTCTAGGCTCAGATCATTTATGAACAGGTTTTTACCACCCCCATGTGAGTGTCCAGTGGGGGGATACTTCCAGATTGTGCAGGACCATCCCGCAGTGCAGTGGTGGCCCCTGCCCACGAGTGCCACCAGTGCCCCCCTGTATCCTCCCATAGATTTCTAAAGCATTCCCAGCTCCGGGCATGGTGCCGCCTGTTGAGAACCACTGGGTGTGGGTCCCTGCGGGGCCTCCCGGCCGCGGCTCACCCCGCCTGTGCTTGCAGGTTCCATGCAGGTGATGAACAAGACCCGGCGCATCATGGAGCAGGGCGGGGCGCACTTCGTCAACGCCTTCGTGACCACGCCCATGTGCTGCCCCTCACGTTCCTCCATCCTCACCGGCAAGTACGTCCACAACCACAACACCTACACCAACAACGAGAACTGCTCCTCGCCCTCCTGGCAGGCGCAGCACGAGGGCCGCACCTTCGCCGTGTACCTCAACAGCACCGGCTACCGCACAGGTGAGGGGCGGCCGGGGTGGGCCGGGACCCCCGCGAGTGCCAGCTGCTGTCCTCCCCTGAGCATCGCTAGATGTGGTCCACGCGGCGGGGGTGCCCACGGTGATGCCAGGTAGTGCGTGGAATAACTGCAGAGTTGTGCGTTTATTTCCAGGTGTATTTGAAAAATGCAGACTTATGTGCCCAGAGTATCCATATAAAGTGAACTTTTCGAAGGAATTTGAGTTATCCAAAAAAAGTGAATTCATTTCAAATGTGACTTATAATACAGAGAGGCCACAGTGGACCCAAGCCTGAGTTTGTGTTCTTTGTTAACTGTTATTAAAGCCACTGAGGACTGTTTTGTGGACTTTGGACCAGCGACAGGAGAGAAGGTTCCGGAAGAACATTGGGGTGGGGGATGGGAATTAATATGGGTGTGGAAATGGAGAGGGAACAGATGTGGGGACTGTATGGCCGCTCTCTACATGGTAGTAACGAGGATGGGGCAGTGGTTGACGTGGCGTGGACTGCGGGCTGTGTTGGCAGTGTCGCAGCCTGGGTGGAGAGCCAGCCTGGTTCCTGTATGTTTATCTTGCTGCAGGTCCTTTGGTGGGTTCTGAAGGCTCACCTGCCAGGCTGGTTGCCTGAAGGAGAGATGAAATTCCAGTACAGTCACTGTCTCCAGCACCATTGCAAAATCTTCCAAATTCAATTAATTTAACTCTCTCATTAAAAATAAATAAATAAATACTCCCCACCTTGGGGAAGGAGCGGAGGCAGTTGTGAAATGAAATATTGTGGCTTAGATGTTGCAACCCCAGGAAGTTGCATCCAAGTGACAATGGGTTTGTTCGGGGGCGGGGGGGAGTGACAAGGAAAGGACGTACAGATGCCTCCTTCAGCTTGGTTCACAGCTGGGCAGCTTGCTCTCAGAGACACAGTGTGGGCTGGCAAAGGCACTTTGGAGCAAGCTGGTAAGGCGTGTCTTCTTACAGACTCACCCACTGCCAGAATCCCCTAGAAAGTGGGCCGAGAGAACTAGGAAAGCCTCATTCCTATACATGGGCAGTTCATCAGGCATGCCATTGTGTGAAAGCATAACCCTGTTGGTTCCTGGGTCTCTGCAGAAAGCCACGTGTGTCAGAAGTTACCATGGGCCACCACCCTAGATGGTTAGACGGGCCTGGATGTCACTGGCAGAAGCAGGACCAGTGGGACCTCCAGCAGGTCCAAAAAGTATAACCATGCCTGCTCAGAGTTGCTAACCTTCAAATGTTTTTAAATCTGAATTTTTAGGTGAAATCTCCTGATTTTTAAAAATGCTGGCAAAACTCAAATATGTCTGAGAACTGGGTATGTCTTACAGATCCCCTTTTACCACCTCTGGCTGATAGGTCTATATAGAAACCTTTAGCTTTGGATGCCAAAGGAGGACCCTTAAAGTGTTCTCATCAACCCCCCTCATTTGACAGCCAGGGCAACTGCAACCCAAAAAGGAGATTTTTCCCAGAGTCATAAAATAAGGTGTTTGTGACATAATCCAAATGGGAACCAAGACCACGGAAATTAAGAGGGGGTGTGGAAATCATATCACTCAAATTGACATTTTGGGGCTCATGGTGACAGCCAAAGCCTAGAGTTTCAAAATCATATAGGGGACACAAGAAAAGGAACCGTCTCAAAACTGATTGCTCAAACTGTATCCTTGAATTTACACAAATCACTGAAAATCAGTCTCCCCAAAGAAATTTCATTCAATTATGCTTAATTATTGTACCCTCAATGAAGATTGGAAGCATAATGTCAATGTGAATAGCCATACACACAGACCATTTATATTTTTTATAAAACTGCTATTGAGAATTTTATACATATTTAGAATGCTCCTCTCTTCAAGAAATCCCATTCCAACCTTATTTTCAGAACTGAGGATACTGAAAACATATGTTTACTCTGATGAACTTGTCTGTTCCTGGGTATTAAATAACAAGAGCTGCAAACATTCATACTTTCCCTCTTTGCCCTGGCAGCTAGGAAGCTCAGATTTGAGCATGTATTAAATTGCTATTTTAAAGTAAAAACATTTTAAAGATCCCACTGCATGATATTAGTTATACTAATTGGTGTCAATTGATTAAGAAGATGACCAAAAACACTACAGTGAATTCAGAATCCCTTTTAGATTAATTCAATTTGTATAACACATATTAGAATACATAGATAGTAAATTTTTAATCCCCAGGGACCTAAGGTCATTGGCTCCTGCTGGGTCTTAAGCCACATTAAACCGTATATCCATGTGTGCATCTAGGGAAGCTGGTTGAGTTGGATTTAAGATTTGCTGTGTATGTGAGATACCCAAGATATCAACTGTTTATTACTCCGTCAATTAAAATTCCATGCTGCTTTGGTGGCCCAGCTCCATGAATTGGTTAGAGACACTGACTCTATTTCTCCTTATTTCCCATTGGTGAGAAACAAGTCACATGGTCGCAAAGGAGCCTGGGAAATGTAGTCTTTATTCTGGGTGGTCATTTGCCCAGCTGAAAATTACTTTACTATGGGAGAAGAAAACAGATACTGAGGGAAAATTAAATCTCAACCACAGTCACAATTTCTCAGCCATTTGCATTTGTGATACCCTTTTGGATACAGGAGGTCAGCCTGAACTGAGGAAGACTGTTACTGGAAAAAACGTTACTGAAATGGGCCAACATTTTGTAATAAATAGTGCTTTTTATTTTTATTGAATCATAACTGATTATACATATTTTGGGGGTTCAACGTTGACATATGTTGATCAAATCAATATTACTAGCATATATATTGTTACAAATCATACTTATTCTTTATGCCCCTTGTCCAATCTCTCCCCAACCCCTTCCCTCTCCCCCTGCCGCCAATCACCCTAGATTTCTTCTCTCCTTCTTTTTTTTTTTTTTTGTCTTTTGTCTTTTTTCCGTGTCCGGCAACGGATCGCAACCCTCAGTGTTGCCCCCACGTACCGGACCGGGGACCGGCAACAGGATTGCAACCCTCGGTGTTGCTTCCGTGCCTCGCTCAGCCAGTGAGCAGGAACCGGTCTGTATGTGGGATCCGAACCCTCGGGCGGGAGCGCCGCCACGCTTCCCAAGCGGCGCACTATCCAGTGCGCCACCGGGCCGGCCCCCTTCTCTCCTTCTGAAAGAGTAATGTTTACTCTGTTGATTTGTTGCCTAGATGATCTGTCCAATAATGAGAGGTGTGTTCAGGTCCCCCAATATTATCATAGAGCAGATACTTCTTCTGTCACTCTGGAATGGGCTTTGTGGTCACTGCTGGTGACTCCCCTTGTGTCAATGCACTCCAGTGGCTGGTGGACCATCTGCATGGTGGTTGTGGTATCTAGCCGCTTTCGTGGCAGCTATGGTTATTGTGGTGGCTGTGGTGGGCCTCCCACCTGGAGGTGATGTTTTTGGCTTGCTGCTCAGTGTTGGCGGTGTGCCTGGATGTGGGTGAGGTGTCTGGTCCCCGACTCGATGCCCCAGGTCCCCTGGCAGGCCCCAAGGCACTGGTGGTGTGCCTGGGCCGGAACTAATTTTGTACCCTTTGCTTACTTCCAAAATGGGAAAACTTCCTGTGGGGACCAGTACTTGAGCTGTGTGGTTGAGCTAAATTGCTGCTTTGCTGCTGATTCCCTAGGGAAGGCTTTTTGTGCAGCTCAGGTTTTAATGGTTGACTTTTAGGTACTTCTGGCTCTTCTGAGACCCAGTGTACCTGGGTTGTGTAGAAACGCTGGTCTGGGCCCAAGTCTTTTCATCGAACTGCACTCCGTGCAATTCTGTATTCCTGACCAGTCTCCTCTGAGTGGTCCTTCGCTGATTGGGATGCCAATCAGCTGTCCTTGCTGTGCCCCAGTGTTCCCCCAGTGGGCCCATCTCCCCCACCACCTGTGCTGCAAACACTTCCCATGGGACAAGCTGTGCACTGGTCCCTTGCAATGACTCACTGGCCTCTGAGTGGCCCCTTTTTTTCAGTTGTTGTGACTCCTTGCTCCTATGTGGGTCCATGGCAGCCCTATTAGTGGTCTTGCTGGCCTGGGGGCCACCAAGGCCCTCTTCTCCCCAGCTGCCTCCAAGCAACTTCATCCAAAGGGCAGGGCTGTGGCTTTTGCTGGCTCCTGCTCTATGCACTCAGCAGCTCCAGCCTTAAAGCAGCTACAGCACTAAATGGTCAGAGTGGTTTTCTCTTTCATCGTGGCTTCTCCTGCATTCATGCACTCCATAGGTCTCTCCTCCCCTTCCCCTGAGCTCAGGTGGGCCCAGCTTGGCTGTTGTTGCTTTTTTATAGTTGTAAATTTGTTGATTTGTGGGAGAGAGTGACGCTGGGGACTGTCTATTCCACCATCTTGGCCAGAAACCTTAAATAGTGCTTTTTTAAAAAAAAAAAAAAAAAAAAAACAGTTCATGATGAAATAAAGAGTACTTTTAATGTATTTAGTTAGGTATTTTATCCTGAAAAATGAAACTACAAATTTTTTTTAATAATGTTACTTTATGTTGCATCTAAACATATTCAACAAAGGTTATGTTATAATTGTAACCAAGGGGTTGTTTTGTTTGTTTGTTGGTGGCTGGCTGGTACGGGAATCCAAACCCTTGACCTTGGTGTTATCAGCACCACACTCTACCAAGCGAGCTAATCAGCCAGCCCGAGATGATTCTTGAAGGAAATGAATTGAGTTTCGGTTGGAAGGAGTACAATTTGCCCAACAAATTTAAATCATAGTCCAGTGTGATATCCTTTACTTCACCTTTAGTTTTCATAGCACATTCATAAAAGGTCATTTTCGCAAAAGTATTTGACGATTTGATCAATTTTTCTAAGGGCCTCTTTTAATCTTTTGACTTCTGCGAAGTGCTTATTACTCTATCATCCTTTCAGTAGTCTCTTCTTCAGTTGTCTCCTAGACCAGATTATTATTTATCAATGGATTTGTGTGCGTTTCAAGCTGTCCTGCAGCATCGCTGTAATTAATTTCA